ACTTGCACACAGGGTGTTGAGATAAATAATAGCACCGATTCTCATTATTAAGGGAGACCAAGGTTCTTTCTGGTTTTTCACTATTACGAACAGCACTGCATTGAAAGTCTTTGCACGTGCTTCTTTGAGCACACATGCAAGTGGTTATCTAGAGAGGCTACTGAGAGAAAAGATGTGAAATTACAAGAAGGTGTGTGCACTTAGCATTTTAATGATTATTGTCAAATTGCTTTCCAAAACAGTGGTCTCAATATAGTTATATTCTATTAGATGTGAAGGTGCCTATTTACTGTTCTTGCTAACTTGTGATATTTTCTTTTTCATTTTTGCCAGTCTCATGAGTGAAAAATGATATCTCAAATCCAAAAGAATGTTCATAGACAGTATGGTTTGTGAGTGCAAAAAAAAAAGCGTTAATTGGAAACAATGTAAAAATCTATTAAGAGGAAAATAAGACAGGTGAATAAACTGTGACATAGTTGTAAGATAGAGTACTAAACAGGAGTCACAGCTACTGAGATCCAGTAAAGATGCATAAGGGGGATTTATCTCATAGTCTGGAGCAAGAAAAGGAAATCGCTAAAGAATACAGATGATAAGATCCATTTCTATAAATTAAAAAACATGCAGAGTTAATGCATTTTGGAGGGACATATTTATACATGATAAAATTAAAAAGGAAAGCAAGCCTTTGTCATTAAGGGTAGGCTGCTTTCAGAGCCAGGAGTTTCTGAGGGCTGGTGAGTTCCAGATAACTTACCTGAGAGATGGGGGAGAGAGAGGAGCTTGACTTTGCCAAGGCCCATGAAGGAATGAGTCCATTTCCTCTGACATCTATCTGTGCAGCCTGCTACATTTGTCTTTGCTGTTAATGTTTCTGACAATACCAGCTTGTAGGTTTGATTTTTTTCCTTATAAAAAGTTCTTTGCATTGTTGAACTCAAGAATATAGTTTATATGTGGGATATTCTCTGGGAGTGATGAATGTTAATTTTGCTTTTGGATGTTTTCCATTACTTTCTTAATCATATAATTTCTTTCTCAGACAATCTTAAAATAGTTACTGTAAAAAAATAATATGGAATGGTTATTGTAGAAGAGAAGCTGATAAAATGGAAAGAATAGGGGCTTTGGAGTCCAACAGACCTGGGTTGAAAGTTTTTTCCTTACTCAGTCCTGTGCTTTATTATCTCCTCTTTGCTGCTTTCTGCTCCTCCTCCCCTCCATCCTGAAACTATACCTGATTTAGTTGCTCAGTATCTAGTCGTTATCACCATCTTTATCATCATCATTGCTGTTAAAATCTGTAGGGAATGGTGTCAAAGTAAATTACAGAATCCAGAACAAACAAGACACTTACTGTGGATTTCAGAAGGAGTCCTGTTCTTTTTGTTGTCTCTAAGCTGTATATGTCTCCCCTGTAAAAATGAGTGTGAAAGCAGCTAACCATGGCCCATTATTATTATTGTTATTAAATAATAGGTTGATTGACATAGAATTCAGAGACCATATATCTCACCCTTTTATTTGTTTATTTTTTAAAAGATTTATTTATTTGAGAGAGAGCACGAGCAGAGGGAGAAGCAGACTCTCCTCCGAGTAGGGAGCCCGACGCGGGGCTCTGTCCCAGGACCCTGGGATCATGACCTGAGCCGAAGGCAGATGCTTAACTGACTGAGCCACCCAGGTGCCCCAGATCTCACCCTTTTAAAGTGATATTAGTAGTTTTTAGTGTTTTGGTAGTTTTTAGTATAATCATAAAGCTGTACGTCTGTCATCACTAATTCCAGAACGTTGTCATCATCAAAACCAAACCCAGTACCTGTTACCACTTACTCCCCATTTCACCCTTTTATCCCCTAGAGCTGCTAATCTCTTTTCTTTCTCTATGGATTTGTCCATTCTGAATATTTTGTATAAATGGAGTCATACAATTTGCTGGTTTTTTTTTTTCACTTAGCATGGTGTTTTCAATATTATGTTGTATCAGTACTTCGTTCCTTTGTGTTACCCACTGACATTCAGTTATGGTTATATCATACTTTATTTATCCATTCATCAACTGGTGAACATTTGGATTGTTTCCACTTTTTGGTGATTATGAAATAAAGCTGCTATGCACACTCCAGTACAAGGTTTTGTGTGGATCTGTGTTTTCAGTTTTATTCCTTACACCTAATGTGGAATTGCTGGATCATATGGTAATTCTGTTGTAACATTTTGAGGGATTGCCAGACTGTTTCCAGAGTGCCTTTACCACTTTATATTCCTGCTGGCAATGTATGGAATTCCAGTTTCTCCACATCTTCACTAAAGTTTGTCTTTTTTTCATAACGGGTGTGAAGTATTTTCTCATTGCAATTTTGATTTGCATTTCCCTAATGACTAATGAGGTTGAGCATATTTTCATGTACTTATTGGCCATTTGTATTTCTTCTTTGGAGAACTTCCTGTGCATATCCTTTCCTCATTTTAAAATTTAGGTTGTCTTTTTAAGTGTTCTTTATATATATTTTGAATACAGGCACTTTATCAGATGACTTTTGCAGCATGTTCTCCCATTCTATGAGTTGTCTTTTCATTTATTGATGGAGTTTCCCCCCTCACTTTACTGAGGTATAATTGACCTATAACATTGTATAAGTTCAAGGTGTACAAGGTTTTGATTTGGTGCACTTATATATTGGGAAGTGATTACCAGCGCAGTGTTAGCAAACACCTGCCTCATGTCACATAATTACTATTTATTTGTTATGGTGAGAACGTTCTACGTTCTTAGTACCTTTCAAGTATATAATACAGTATTATTAACTGTAATCACTATGCCAGACATCAGATTCCCAGAATTGATGGTATCCTTTGAGTCCCAGAAGTTTTTAATTTTGTCAAAGTCCAATTTGTTGTTTCCTTTGCCACTTGTTTTTTTGATGTCATACTGAAGAAACTATTGCCTAACCAAAAGTCATGAAGATTTGCTTCTCTGTTTTCTTCTAAGAGTTTTGTGGTTTTAGATCTGTGATCTATTTTGAGTTTTCTGTATGGTGTAAGATAGCGTTCCAACTTCGTTCTTTTATATGTTGATAGCCAGTTGTCCCAACACCATTTGTTGAAAAGGCTGTTCTTACCTCCGTTGATTTTCTTGGCACCCTTTTCAAAAATCATAATTTTAACGTAATTTTAAGGGTTTATTTCAGGACTCTCAGTTGTAGCCCATCAGTCTATATGTCTACCCTCAGGCGAGTATTATACTATCTTGATTACTGTTGCTTTGCAGGAAACTTTGAAATCAGGAAACATGAATCCTTCAGCTTTACTCTTCTTTCTCAGGATTGTTTGGCACCTATAATTTTTTAAGGCTGTTATCTTTGGTGTGCTTTCTCTGGGGAGACTGAATTTATAAATGTCCAAAATAGAGACTTAGGAATCAAAAAGGAGAATGTGGATTTTCTATGATTGAATCAGTGATGAATGCCAAAATAAATTCAGCTTATTGAACTCCATTTATTTATCCATTGTTTTGTGTGCCCACCGTGTGTTAGACACTGTGCTAGATTGCAGGGAGATCGCAGTGCACAGACATGATGTCTCTGCAGTGAGCTCATGTTGGCTCCTGGCTTCATGTTTTTGAATGCAGTGTGGATGTTTGATTATCAAAGATAAGGATATAATCAAAGCAGATCTATCATTGGTGGGAAAGTACTCTTGCCAATATTTGAAAGTCCTGTCAATGCAAATTCTTACCTTGTTATTCTGCTAGTTAGAATGAAAGTATGGATGGATGGAAAAAGAGGGTGAGTATTTTCCAGGTAGCTGCGTTGAGCATGTTGAAGAAACTACAAAAGCACCATATGTTCTCATTTACACTTGAGTGTGCACATGGATCTCTTCCCATTTAAAAGTTCACTTGAAGGCAAGGGCCTTGTGTTATTGATCTTTCTTGCTGATGACTATCATCTAACTGTACTTTAAAAATATTAGGTGTTCAGGGAGCCTGGGCGACTCAGTCAGTTAAGCGTCCAACTCTTGATTTTGGCTCAGGTGATGATCTCGGGGTTGTGAGAACGAGCCTTGTATCGGGCTCCACACTGGGCATGGAGCCTGCTTAAAGTTCTGTCTGTCCCTCTGCCCCTCTTCCCCCCTTCTCTTTCTAAAAAAAAATTAGGTGTTCAGTATGTGTTGACTGAATGATTGAATGGGTCAAGCCATGAATGAGTGCTCATATCATATGACCTTATACTAGTTTAGTATATAGCCAACTTTTATTGGCTATCATTCTTGCCCTCAAGGATCTTGATTTAGTGGTTAATGTGAAGATGAGACCCTCGATATGATACACCTTTACGAAAATAAGATTTATTGAGTCATAAATTATATGAAAAGGAAATTGTACAAATAGCTTAAATGCATTTTAATATATACATGTTAGGAGTCACTTGGGTCCATAGGGTGATATAGGGCAGTAGAGGAAGTCCTGAGCAGAGGTGGGATTTCATGTAGGGTTCAAAGAACTGAAGGAACACATGTTGATAGAGGGGAGTGGCTAAAACTTCTAGGGCAAGAGGTAGTTCTCAGAACGGGTGGTACTGTTCGGCCAGGAGACTTGGGAAAGTATGGATGTTTTTGGTTGTCCTTGTGTTTAGGATTGCTACAGGCTTTTAGTGGTTTAGGGCCAGGGAGGCTAAAGTCCCACAGTGTGAAGTTAGGAGTTGATTTGCCTCAAATCACAGTGGCTCCCTATTTGAAATATACTGGGAAGGAAACAGATTTAGCTGTATAAGGAGGGAAATAGTGTTTATGAGTAGTTTTTTAAGCAAATACTATTTGTTTGTTTGGTTTGGGTTTTGCCATTGTAGAGGCTGAACTGGGAGAGGTATGTAGTTAGAGTGGAATATAGCAATGGAACATCTTAGGAACTGTTGCAGGAATTTATATTTGATCAGTTTGGTGATTCTTAACATTTTATTTTGTCTTATAGTTTGATTTTCTTTTCTTTCTCTTAGAACGAGCCTCTGACCCAAGGTTATCATGGATTCCCAGCACGGGACAGCCAGGTTGGTATCTGCTGTTATAACTCAGATGGGGTGTGTGTGTGTGTGTGTGTTCATTCTAAGGATGCTATGGTAGAGAGCATTTCCTGAAATAATTTTGGAGAGTGATGTGGTTAGTTTCAGCAATGACTTTACATTTAGAGATACAAATAAAATATATTTTTTAATCCTAAAAGAATTGTAATCATGTTACTGAAATTGTGGATATTACAGGGGAAAAAAATCACTCAGGCACAGCCATATTGCTTTTGTTTTTTCTTCTCCAGGCTGATAGTAATTTTTTAACCTGGTTTTCTTGATGTGTCATAATTCTAAGTGCTGGGTTTGTCTCTTAATTCTCTGCCACTTAGCCCCTGCCTGCACAGATTTTTTTGAGTCCTTGCAATAATCTGCAACAAGAAAATTCCATTCTCCTTCCTGGGGGAATTCAGCCTTATGGTTTTAATCAGGGAAGGCTTGCTTGAGAGAGGGAAGTTTCTGCTGCGTTTCTTTGTTAGATGGGGATGATGATTGGAAGAAAGCCCAGGTCCTACTGTGGGTAGAGCAGTACTGCTTCCTATGAGACATCCTCTGGATGCTTTAGGTGAGTGCATAAAATGCCTTCCCTATCCTTCCACTGTTTGAAACCTTGGGCAGATGAGGCTGAAGCCGCGTTAGGTTAGAAGAACAGGTAAAGCTGCCTCAGAGGAATGATGTGGCTTAAGATACCTACCCTCTGAATTTGCCTCTTTGCTGTTTGGGCATATAGATATTTTTCAGGAGATTTGAAAGGGTAGCTCCTAGCACTGTCTTTGAATGCCTATCCAACTTTCCTATAGGGTTGTCCAAAAAGACCCTCACTGTTAGGCTTGTCCAAAGGACATGTGTCATCAGAGTGCTAAACCAGAGTGTTGTGACATAGTTGAATCTCATCAGAGCCCCTGAAGCTGATCTTAATAACTAGGATGGCCCCATCATCAGCGGTCATCTGTTTGAGTACTTGCCCAGTTCTTGTACTTTTGGTGCTGGGTTGGCATCAGACCAGCCCCAGGTGGGGTATGGAGAAAAAGGGGGAGGGAGAGTGGTGTTGATCTCTGTGTTCATCTCCCGGTGGGATCATCACCGTTGGCATTGAAGTTTGTCCCTATGGAAGTTTTTGTTGAAAGATACAGTCATTTACTTCAAATCTAAAGAAAATGTAGAGGATTTTCTTTCTTTCTCTCTTTCTGGTTTGGATCTGCTCTAGAGCTTTTGTAAGCTGTGAAATTTATGCCCTTTGATAGTAGTTCTATATCGTGGCCATATATCAGGAAAAGTACTACTGCCTAGAAATCATCCCCCAGAGGTTCTGACTGGTAGGTCTAAAATCGGGTTTAGTCATTCACATACTTAGAAATCCTTATAGGTGATGCTGTTTGCAGCCGGGGTTGAGAACTGTAGTCCTATGGGCTACTTTAAAAGGAGTGACATTTTCTGTTTCATCCTGTACTTTTCACCTAGGACCTTTAAAACATAAAGGATCATGGTCAGTCTCTATCCAGTCTTGGATACCAGTGCATATGTTTACTTATTTATAAAATTTTGCTTATGTTGGATATAGGCTTATTTTAGATATAGGAAGATAAAACTAATTGAAGTAAAGTATGGGAATAGACGTACTGAATTTAAAAGGATCTGAAAGGTACTGTATAATGCTCTGTTCTTCTGTGGGGATTGCAGATCAATAAGAAACTAAGCAAAAGGAATTAAGAGGAATTTGTTAAAGCACAGTTGCTTGGAACTGCTTTATTTTTCCTTTCTCTTGTGGAAGGGACCCACTTCTGTAACCTGCATCTTCATTACTCATACTGTCTCTGCTGTAGGTCTATGCAGACCCTTTTGCCATAGTTTAAAGCTGCTAATTTACTTTGAGGCACATTCTGATGGTGACAGGTTTATATTAGTTTATTTTCTTGGGCTTTATTTTGTTCTCTGACTGGATCTTTGAATTAGAGATCTTAGAGCAGTGCAAACAGGCAAATATTGAATAGCTGCTTGTTGTATTTGATGAATACAGAATCCAAATGAGTACTGCTAATTAATGCGCCTAACCTTGTGAACTCTCACTTTGTGCGCTGAGGTTTGGGAGGCATTTATCAGTCTGCAGCACTGGTCACTGAGCAGCCTGAGCTGGGCAGAAACTGAACTTGTGATCTTTACGTCTCCCCAGAGTGGTTTGGCTCAGCAAATCCAGGAGCCAGGAGGGCGAGGTGAAGGTGAATTTTAATTGTGTGTATTTATTTGCCCTCATTCTTTTGCTGTTCCTTTCTAAACAGATAGGAACCGTCCCCAGACAGGATTTTTATTAGCATCTCCTCATGATTTTAAAAGAGGCAAAGTTAAAATCCTGGTCCTCCTAGAGCACTGTCATCGTACTTTCCCACCTCATCCTCACAGTCATCTTTTGAAGTAGACAAAACAAACACTTCTTTGGAGAGAGCAGAAAACTGAGGCACACAGAGATAAAGTGGCTTATCCAGGGTAACCATACCAGACAGTAGCTGCATAAGAACTGAAATTTGTCTTCTCTTTGTTGAGGGCCCTTTCCTCTGTCCTGGGGACTGTTCCCTGGGTGGTCGTGTGCGTGCGTGCCTGCTCACTCCCATCCTTCATTTATCGTTTGGCGGCTTCATAGGCCTCATGAAGCTCAGCCACAGATTTAGGAAGCCATGGCCCCTGGTTAAGGATTATTACCCCTGAGTTCCTTAGCACCAAGTAGACCAGCATCTCACTGTTTAGTGACCTTTTTCATGCTGTTATGTAAGCTCCCACCAGCACATTTGAATTAGAAACCTGTGGAGCAAAGGAGGGAAAAAAACACCTGCCACCTTGTAGAGGTTTTGCTTTTTTATGTGCAGTTACCCCAGCCTTCTTTCCCAATCAGTTAGCAAGCTTTATGAGATTACAAGCCATTGCATTCATAGAGCACTCCAAGCACTTCACCGTGCTTGCTAATGGGCTTTCTCTGTGGAAGTGCAGGAGACGAACATTGTCCAGATTTACAGAAGTGAAAACCAGCTGGAAGGCTGAGTGTCTCACCTAAGGCTGTGCAGGAGGTTGGATTGGTGATACAATATAGCGGTTTAGATTCCCAGCTGATTGTTTCTCCATGGTTTATGTATATGCGCAGGTGCTTATTTGAGTGTTAAGGCTGGAATATTTTGTGGGTTTGTAAGATTTTTAAATGAGAGAATGTTTGTGTGTATTAACTCCACAGAGTTTTTAGATGGGAGGGCCTTAGGAGCATCAGTCTGATTAGAAGGGGGCTTAGTTCTGCATAGCAAGCTTACTATTTTTGCCAACATTATTTGTTTAGGATGGCTTTCGGGGGCTTCTGGAGAGTACAGTGGGAATCCCGAGGCCAGCCCCTTGCCATCTCTTGGTGCCATAACTTTATGTCTGCTATATTAGGATGGCCATATAATTCATCATTCTAGTTGGAGCACTTTTGAGAGTGAAAAGCGATGCTCATTTTGGAACAGTCCCAGGCAAACCGAGACGGGTGCGGTGTGTGGTCATCTTAGCTGTAATTCCAGAACTGTAGCGAATGTCCCCTTAACTGATGTGATCAGGAATTGGGATATGGCACAGTGCATTGCCTACCATTTAACCTGGGTGGGAACGAAACATCGCCATTCACATCTGAGACTCTTGGTTGGGTTCAAGTGTTGAGTCAGGTGTAGAGCTGAGAATAATAGTATGTTAAAAAAAACTAATGTTTGTAAAGTACTTTACAGTGTGCTTCCGTGTTTACTGAGTTTTGATCTTCACAATAGCTCTACTAGGTAGGTGGGGCTTTATTATCTCTATAAGAAAACCAATGCAGGGGGCGCCTGGGTGGCTCCGTCAGTTAAGCATCTGACTCTTGATTTCAGCTCAGGTCATGATCTCAGAGTCCTGGGATAGAGCCCACATCAGGCTCCCCACTCAGCAGGGAGTCTGCTTGGGAATTCTCTCCCTTTCCCTCTGCCCCTTCCCCTGCTTATGCACACACTTTCAAATAAATAATAAATAAATAAATCTTAAAAAAATAGAACCAACACAGAGATTTTTAAATGAATTTCCAATGTCACGTAGAGGGGAGGTGGCAGAAATAGGCTTGAACCCTGGATTTTCAGCCTCTAGTGTCTTGTATTTCCCTTTTGTGTTCTTCTGTCAGTGTTCTCTCTTCCTTGAATGGGGATGTTCTCTTGCTAGTGTGACAAGATATTATGGAATCCTTGGGGAATGTAGCAACATGAAAAGGCTTCATATGACCTGGACATCCCTTGAGTAACTTATGTCTGTCAAGTTTTCTTCCTGTCTTGTTTGTTAAAATAGCTTGTGGTTCACAGTTTATCTTTTTGTATTTTATTTATTTATTTATTTATTTAAAAAAGATTTTATTATTTGACAGAGAGAGAGACATAGCAAGAGCAGGAACACAAGCAGGGGGAGTGGGAGAGGGAGAAGCAGGCTTCCTGTGGAGCAGGGAGCCCGATGCCGGGCTCCATCCCAGGACCCTGGGATCATGACCTGAGCTGAAGGCAGACACTTAACGACTGAGCCACCCAGGTGCCCCAATCTTTTTGTATTTTAAATATAAAGAAAAAAAATGTCATAGTGTTAGGCTCTTTATCTTATTTCTAAAATGCTGGTCAGTGGCTCCTTAAAATTTTTTTCCTTTTCCTCAAATTCTGTTGAAAAGCCACTCTATCTACATGTTTGGGTGAAACACGGAAACAGTGAGAATGTCAAAGGAGATGTTCAAGTTGGCAGATGTGACTTTGTTAGAGGTTTTAATTGGGAGTGGCAGCCGTACTTTTAATTGAGAGGATAGGTTAAAAATGACCTAAGAGGGGTGCCTGACTGGCTCAGTCAGTTAAGCATCCAACTCTTGATTGAAGCTCAGGTCTTGATCTCAGGGTCATGAGTTCAAGCCCCGTGTTGGGCTCCACACTAGGCGTGGAGTCTACTTAAAAAAACAAAAACAAAAATAAAAATGA